CCCGTTGTACGGTGGACAGATTCCGCCTGTGTCTCGGGGGTCTCCACCGGCGGCGCGGTGGATCGCCATTGTCGTTCGCTGTCGTACGCCCGGAGAGCAAGGATGCCAGAGGCGCCACACGGGCGGCTTACCGGGGTCCCCATACCCGTGTGCCGTGGGTAGGACGGGCGCACCGTTTTTTGCGGGGATTAAATGCGAGCCGATGCCGCGATAAGCCGTAGAAAACTACGGGTGGAAGCGGTACCCCGGTGACAGATTACGCTCGTGACTCTGCGATCCAACGTCTGCGACCGTTCCTACTCCTGGGAGGCTGCTAGGTAGCCTCACCCCCTCTCGCCCTTCTAAGGATCTAACGTTCCGCCGAAAGCCCGTATATAGCAAGAACAACCGTATAACCCACGCGAGAAGAAACACCGCGACGAATTTCGCGGTGATGTGTCTATCGGACGGCAAACGAGGGACGGTGGGCCCCGATGGAACGCGGCACGAATCGAAACAGGAACCCTTCCCCCCCCCCCCTAATGCAATTTGTCGCATCGTTACTTTTCGGATATTTTGTTGCGCATACGAGTGGTTTTGTTGCTTGGGGAACTCGAACGAAGAAGAATGATTTATGATATTTTAATAGAACGGAGAAATATTGTGTATTTATTCGGTAGAAATAGTAGTGAGACGTGTAGATGTTTGGTAAATATTTAAAATAAGTCATTATTCTGAGTGGTATTGTTGAAGGTTTCAGTTAGGGGTTGCAGTTTAGAAAAAGTTATTATCAAAAAAAGTTTAGTATCCTATTTTAGTAGTATTGATGAGTAAACTGACCGATGACCTTGACCTTGGTATATGTTGTCAAAGTCACACTCTTGAGGGACCTTCGGTTTTAGTTATTAAATTTTTAACTTATTAACTTAATCAACTTTTTTTTCATAATAATTTTTTTACAAACGGCGACCCTCAACTAAAACATTCATGACACTATTCAGGGTGATGACCTTGACAACATAGTGAAAAATCATTGAAATCGGAGGTGGCTTCCTTATTGTAAATATTTACCAATGAATGAAGTTAGAAGAATCTATCTTTCAAGTAGAATCTGTCTGTCGCGTCAGACGTGTATTTAACGCGTGTACCGCTCGTATTTTCGACAATCAACAACTCGGAAAAGGAAGCCTCGAGCAAGCAATTTCGTCTTTGTTCATCGCATAGAATTCACTCTGTGAAAGTGTGTCCCACATTTTTATTAACACCCTGTATAACAGGATACGCGAAGGAGAGTATGTATAATTCATAGAGGATGCGTCGACGTTGACGATACGATCGCGAATGATACTTCTTGCGTATCTTGTTACGAAATGTGTTCGTGTTTTATTAAAGACGAACGGGCAAGGATTTAATTCACTGGGTTGCGAGTGAAACTGAAAATATCAATTATCGTGCTACATTCTATCGTGATCTCTAGCCTTCTGGTGCCGTGTTTGCAAGCTGTTATGATGTTCTCTATTATGTTCCAGAAGAAAACAAAAAGAACCGGAAATTAAGTAATTGAAACTCATGCAACGTTTTCTTAGAAATCTCTAATACGATTGTAGCTGCTTCTTAATTGTCTTATGCATAAGATATTTCAAAGGAGCTCAGGTTGCTGAAAGAAGAACGCAACAATCAGTACCTGCTCCGAAAAGTATAAAAATCGAGAAAATACAGATCATATCCTGAACCCTCTAACAACGGCGTCTGGGTCTAATTTGACCCAAATTTCAGGCACTTCACGCAGCATTCTAGTTTCCAGAAAATAACTAAACTGTACAATTATTAGATCAAGATTACATAAGAAAATCAGCATATTCTATGTATTCTATATATAAAGAGTAGAGGTTTATCTAGACCCAGGTACCGCCGTCTAATCGTTCATCAAAACCATCAGCTCCTCAAGAATGAAAACTCTGAATACCATAATTCAGAGACACCTTGTACGATCTCCCAGCTTCAAACGACAACAAACCACACCTACTCACGATTCACATATAAAATAAGGTGTCGAGAAGACTGAACTCATTGCACCAATAGCACCAAAAATAATCCAACAATCCTGAGCCACCAGTCACAACACAACAATATTAAGACTTTCACACAGTAACCGTCCTCCCGGTCCAAGGCAAACAAAAAGAACGCAGGCCCGCCCCGATTCTCAACAAATTCCCCAACAAAGGGAAGCTTAAAAAGTACTTTGTAGTACAAGAAGTAAGTTCTCCAGGTGCCGGGGCGCGAAGAAGCAGCGTGCCGGATGCTCCGTGTAATTGACAGGCGAAAAAATATCCCGGGGATTCGGTTCGATTCGGGACGATTACACGGAACGAGCGGATATTACACGGTGTAAAAATCCCGCGCGGCCGTCCAACCGAGAAAGATACGGCTGCAGGAGGGGGAAAGGGGGGCGACTTGAGGGATTCCAGCACGGGTCTGTCTTTTTCCCCACTTTTTCAATTCGAACGGAGGGCGCATTAAGCGGTGAAACCCGGGTGGCGGCAGAGGTGGATAAGCCGTGGCAGAAAACTACGACGCGGGAGGAGTGGTGGCTGTGACAGATTACGCTCTGTGGCCCGCGATTCCACCGTCTGCCCGCCTAAAGCCGCCGGCAAAAAGGCGAGAAAAAAAACACAGAACGCGCACGGCCCTGGGGGGAGGATGGATCCCCGGAGTGGATTAGCCCAGGCCACGTTTCCCCGGGTACCTACACGGGTACACGCGTATTTATTAAATCGAGCACTAATCCGCCTGAAAACAGAGTCAGAGAGTGGCTGGAGTGCTACTGGGGCGGACGTGAGGATTGTATTTTAAAAGAATTTAACCGTATGCCTGGGATTCTTGTCGGATGGGATAATATTAGCGTCACCTTTCGACCTGAGTATGATTGCAGGGGGTTGGACTAGTGGGGAGATTGATTTTGTGTTTTTTGGTGTTGTTGTTCGTTTATTGAAATTAAGGAAATTACTATTCTTCTTAATGGAATTGAAAAATATCTAGGATATTGTGATTGTTTTGTTCAGTTTGTGAGGTTAATTGAAGTCTTCTAATCTATGTGTATACAGTGTAACTAATGGTAATCGGTGATATATTTCTTATTAACAGAGCATTTAGTAGAATGAGGGAATTATTGCAGGCCCTTGAGGCTTAGTACTCGAGGATATTTACTTAGACTTGTATGGACTATCTTATGGGAAATTGAATGAAACAGAAATTCGTCTGGTCTAATAAAAATTTTCAGGAATAATGATTATAATAATTTGCATCAACTAACCTGAATGCATTGAATGATTTGAGAATAGTAGGAGCTCAATACCTTGCATGACAATTGTAACTATTCTCTAAAAAGGGAATTACAGGAATGATATAAAGTACAATCATATCTTGCGAATGATGTTGATTTCCTTGGAAATAAATACTGAATTACGTGAAAAAAATTAAACCTACACAAATTTGAAGCCAGTGAACGAATTTTTTAATCTAAAGGGGTAGGGGGATTTGTTACTGCGACAACAGTAAAAACAATTCTTCAAAATTCTAACGACAGTGATAGGTTTTCTGGTTTAAAAAATTTAACGACCAGCGTCTTAGCAGGTGAAAAGGGTGTCACTATGTCGACAGGCCGGTTCAGGTTACACCGCGAAGACAAATGAGCCTAGCAGGCCGAGAGGGGAACGTGTCGGAGGCACGAATGTGCTTTGGGAATTTATAAGATTCACCGACCGGCGAATATGATCGCGATTAGATGCGATCTGCAGCCATTAAGCCGCTAATCTCCTTAATTGCGATCTCGGAGGCCGGGGTAGCGGACGGTGAAGAATCCTTGTGCAATTGAATGAAACTTTAAACGGGTCGCGATAAAGCTGAAAGTAATCGAGGTTATCTGTGATCCAGAATTAAATTTTTCAATTCGAAGATCCTCGACTGTGCTCTGAGACGACTGTAAGTTCGATAATATAAATGTATAATTTTGTTTTTCATTATATATACTTAAACAGACCAAAAACTAAATATCAATGACATAGTTGATGGAACAAAATCAGTGCGAAAGGTGATCGTACAGTTAATCGATAAATATAATTTTCTTCCCTCCTAAAAAATACCGTTTTTCCATTCCCGTAATTTCACCACTGGAAGCGACGAAATGTCCATTTTCTCCGTGACTCCCACTGCCATCTCACGACTATGTTAATCGTTAGATCCAAGTCGGTCCATTTTTTTCCCCCCTCGTACCACAGGACATCCATCCTGAGCGTCCGCGGTGGTTCACCCAGTGTTTGTCGCGAGCCGCTAACGAGCAAGAGCCGCCCCCTCTCACTTCCACCCCCTTCTCCACCCTGTTGTTTCTTTCCCCCCGCGAGGGGCACACCGGCTTATATAAGTCTTATAAAGAGCAAAGCGGCGGTCCACGGGGACAAACCCCCCAAAGGTGCTTGTCGCCTATCCTCTTCGACCCCCTCCTGCCTCCTACCCTCTGGGGGAAGAAGACGCGCGCGGGTTCCCGCCAGGAACCCGCTTAAATGCGCGGTCCCTGCGCTTCGTTCGCACGCCGACCACTTTGAGATTACGCTCGATACCGTTTTACGATACTCGCCGTTTATTAGTGTTGGGACAGTTTTCCGCGGCTGTGACCCGAGATAACTTTTAATATTGTTTTTATACAGGATGGAAGAGAAATGTTGAAGGACCCGGAAATGGGAGACCCGTGAGGTGATTTGTAATAATTTTTTTTCTTAGCAAAAATGTTATCTGAGGCTTTGTTAACGAGATATTAACGAAAAACAATGTTTTTTGTTTTCACTTTAGACGCCGATGAACAATAAGATTCTACTGAATTATTTATAGGAGAAGATACTTGTCGAATAAACTTTCAATTTGGTATTTGTTAATGGAACAATCACATTTTTCATTATTGAGGGAACGAAATCGGTGGATCACAATGATGTTTATGGTAGAAATTTTTTAGGGAAAATAAGACTTACCCCGTTCTGTTGACAGCAGGATCGCAGCAGCACCGAGAACAGGAGACAAAGGGAATCGGAGTTAGGGTTTCGCTTTATTGAAGGACGTTGGCCCGATAAATTCTAAAGTATTTGATCGCGTATATCTCGGTTCGAGGGATATTATGCGGGTCGTAAACTTATTCCCAGCCGTGTAGACGGCACCATATGGCACTAAAAAATCCATAGGTGCTTTCTAACACGCCTCTAACCTTTGCATAATGTCTTTGCAAAAAGACACACTGCTCCTGGCGTTTATGAAGAGTACACGGAACGGAACGTTAAAGCCTAGACAAATTGTTAATGTTCAGTTTATTGTTCTATATTTATTTTGACATTATTCTCAACCTCTACTCATTAACCATAAATATACCAGGTTCGCGGAAAATGAATGGTCATTTAATAATCTATTATAATAGGCAAGAAATGTAGAATTTCATCAATTGCATTTCAAAATGCAAAAATGCTCACTATTGTGATAATATCGTAATAAAATGCATCCGTCTCGTTCGCATCATTATTCTACTATCTAATTATTAGACTGCGAATTTTATGCATTTATAGCGTACCTCAGGCTTAATCAAACATTCTCCAGTGGACATAAACAATAACGCTAGCCCCCACCACTCGCTTCTGTTGTGTTGTCATCCTGAAGCAGGAGGTGCGTGCGCATGCTGAGACTGTCCCACTTCCAACACATAAGTCACTATGTCAACGTGTGTCTCCAAGGACCGATAAATAGGGACTTCGAGAGTCCCGAAAGTGGGGACACTCAGCATGCGCGCGCACCTCCTGCCTTTTATATGGAACCTAACAGGATAATAAAGGAATTTCTGTTTGTCTCTGGTTTCCACAAATGAGACTTTGAACAATGATATTTGCATAAAAATCCGCAGTCTATTAATTATATTCACAATATTCCAAACGTTTAGAAATTCAACCTTCTATTACACAACTTACGATACTCATTGCATTGGCCAAAGGTGCCCACAAAAAACCCTCAAAAACTCACCGTGGTCTCGTTCACGCTCTTGATGTAGTCCTTGTACGTTCCCGCGATCAGCTTCACGATGTTCTCGTCCCCGTGCTTCGCGGCCCAGTGCAAAGCCGTCTGCAACACATGCAAACAAACATCGGGGATGTTAACTCGCACGGCTTAAATCATCCGTTGGAACGGACTCTCGTCGAGAGTAGTCCGAGGATTATTCGCGTGAAAGAGCAACGGAAAACGACGGAACAAACAGAAAAAGGCAAACAAATAGATACAAAGCAAAAAGGAACCAGCACCAAGGAGACACCTAGTAAAAATACGTAACGACGGAAATTTACGATCCTCTTCTTCCCTCCTTCCCCATCTGGGGGGTTCGCGAATATTTTGGAAAAAGTCGGCTGACGGGGTTGCCCCGGTTGTAGACACGACGCGAGCAGCTGTAGCGTATTTTCAGAGGAGCCTCTCTCCCGATGAAATATTCGCGAATTAAGCAACGGGCACCCGGCCACGTCGACCGGAACGAGCTGGATGAATGGCGACGTCGGACAGCACTCGAGAGGAGGAGGAGCACTTTGAGGGCAGTCGATCACCAAGGGGACCAAATAGGTGAGAGAGACAGAGGGGACAGAGGAGGGACGCACGGCGGAACAAGCCAGAAAGACCAGCTCGAGGATCGTCTACGGAGCTCGAATTACGCCCCGGAAGATCATGGGGCCAGGGGAAGAAATCTTCACCGGAACTGGTTGGACACCGATGGATTCTTGGAGCGGGTTTAGGTCGACCGTGATGACCGGCAGGATGGTTCAAAGGACGGCGATCGAACGTATCCTTAGGAGGATTTGCGAGTGGCCCAGGGGACCAAGTTGGAAAAAAGGATTTTGCGATGATATCGCGGGAGGGATTGGAGACAAAGAAGGGTTAGGTGTTGGGGGTTCGAGGAGATTTAATGTGTTCGTGATCAGACATCAGGGTGAGGAGTACTTCTCGAAATTTTGTGTCTTTCATGAGAAGTTAGGAAATAATGACATTGTTGGTTAACAGGAACTTTAGGATAATAGTGTGCTCTCTTACGCGAGGTTCGACGAGAAATATGTCAACTGACAGAAGTAGTTCCCATCCAAATCACCTGAGATCTTTGAATAATTTAAATCGGTGACGTTCTAAAAGTAGGTACTGTCATATCACATGGTCTGAGACGTAGCATTTTATATAATTAGATAAAATGACACTAATGGCATCTCGTTTGAAGTATTGGACTTCAACTTATGACCTTCTTTTGGATGGTGGATCTACGTGTTAGAAGACATTTCTCGCGATAAAATGAAAATTGATAATCTTTTATCTGTGACACTTTTCCACACGAGGGTGCAATATGCAATTGAATTGTTTCGGTATCAGAGTCTGCTCTGTCGCGGGTTAACAACAAGAACGTAATGTAATTATTAAAAAATAAAATCAGGTACAATTGTAGGTGCGGAAATCACTGAACAAGCGGACAGAAAAAGGATTCATGTCGCTGAAAATTCACAGAAATTATCTAGAAAGCAAAGAGGGAGAGAATAAATATGTTTTTAATTTTACTCAATTTGCTACTTTCATGCAGTGTGGTGTGAAATAAAGCGGGATAAAAATAATAACCCAGGTAAAATGTAAAGACCGCGTGGTTTTTAAATCCAAAAGCGCTGTCCTCTATGGTCCGAGCTCGTTTAAACGTTGAGTTATGTCCTCGGCTAGTAGCTTTGACATCGAGCTCTTCAAATGCCCGGCTATTTCCATATAGCGGGTTACGCCTCGGGGACGGATTATTTCCAGCATATCCGTTATTATTCTTTGCAAGTTACCGCGACGGCTCGTAAATTTAATGGCGGCCGCCCGGGGCCCATGGATTTTCCGAAAAATGCGCGACACGCGTACGCTGCCAGTCCCGGCCACGCTTAATATCACTTTCTGGCGGATGCTTTATCTGCGCGGCAGTTGATAACGACGACACGCGACAGGGTTTGTTTCGTTTGTGACGGAGTCGTTTTCCTTCCTGGTATCCTTGGAAGAACCATTGAAACTCTAACTGTACCACGATTTCTTGTCCTTTGCAGTAATACTTTTGTGAGCATATTAAACTGATTTTGTTCGAGGCTCGAAGATATGGGTTCAATAAAGTGAATGTAGTTTTTAGTACTATACAGGGTGTCTCAATAACTATGACCACCTACTTTCCGCCTCACTGCAACCCTAATGTACCATCCTACTTCAATACCGACTGATTCCAATTTTCTAGCTCCCGAAGGGTCACCATTCTGCTACCCTATGTACGCCTACTAATTCCATCAATCGTGCAATCCCAACCAATCACCCCAATACCACCAAACTAAGACACTTATATCATTCCCATCAAACTTCGTAATTTCAATCTCAGGACAAACGGAATACAGTTATACGGCCAGACATCCAGACTCCAGGTCCACACCAGTCGCCCGACATCACCAACGTGACGAGAAAAATCACCGAGAGTATCATGTGTGACAGAGAAGGGAAGAACGTGGATTATCCCGCGAGTTCCAAGCTAGCTGTAGGGTGACGGTGGTGGCTGGTCCGCTAAGAGAGAAATATACGGTCTCGTGGATATATAAGCAGGCGACCACGGGACGCTACTGAGCGCATGTATTTTAATTCCGCAAAGTCCTGGTCCCCGTGGCCAGATTAAAAATAGTGTTCAGGTCTCTCCAGATTCGCGCGGGGGCGTCATAGGGACGGCCGCGTCCAGGTGATCCACGTGGAGGGAGCCGTAGCCGCCTGACCGTCTGCACGTTGCCGGAGAGACAACTTGCAGGCCACCTCATTAGCGGCGGAAAAACTCATCCTAACGAGGCTACGTACCTAATGACGAGAACCACGCGCGCGCCAGCTCTTTCGTGTATGCCTATTTACCTGCACATGTGGCTGGCCACCACCGTGGGCTGTGGATATGGCCCGACGAGACCGTTCCACCGCTCGTGTCTGTACACTGCCGTTCATAAGTCACCGGACACTTGGATGACTTTAAAGGAAATGGGACAATTTTTCCAGGAGGAGTGGATATAACATTCGGTGGTATTATTTTGGGTAATGATACGTCAATGGGTTTTAAGAATTATATCGTTGCTTGGCATTGATAGTGGCATAACTAAAAAAAGTTCATATTTGCTTTTATTGAATATGAGGTCTATATTATGTTAGACTTCATCATGTAAGACTGCGTACAGTGAATCCTCGATTAGTATTCAAAGGCTTTAAGTATTTCATAAACTGATGGCCATATGCAGCTGAAACAAATAACATTGGCTTCAGAATTCCAAGCTCTATCATTGTGTCTTCACGCACTCATAGAGGTTTTACTGTATTTACAATTCTATCATAGCTATACAGGTAAATTTTAAAAAGCTTGCTAGCCTACTAGCGACTAACCTTGTTATTTATGAAGAAGTGGACGAATTTTTCTTGTACGTCGATCGATGCAAATAATTTATTCTAGGGATAGGAAGCACGAGTATTCGGTGACTTATGAACGGGAGTGTACGTGTGGCCACGTGTGGGGTGCACCTTGTGCGCCCACTGGCCCTATATGTACTGCCTCCACGGCAAATTAACGAGCGACGCACAGGGTGGATATACGACCTCCTGGTTGATATTAGAGGCACGTGGCGCCAATGCAGCTCCTACGCCAGGATGCACTTGCCAAAGGATTCAGGGGGATGGAAACTCTCGCGGGAGCGTACCTGGTCCGCAAATATTGACGTTGACGCGGGTGTATCGCTTTGTCTTTGTGTGAATACTGTTGGAATAGAAACACGAATGTCGAAGATAAGGCTTGATACCGTCTGTTTTGTAGTATTGTTATTAAGTTAACGCGCATGAAATGTTTCCTCGATCTAATGATAAGTGTGTTCTGTGATATGTGCTTTTTAGAGCGTGTGGAATATTCCAACCGTGGATGACTGAAGATAGGACACAGAGCAGAAGTGACGCTATCGTGTCAGAAAATCAAGAGATTCGTCGCGTTCGTGGTCAGACAAGCATCAGCAGTGAAACAAAATCGATATTCCGCCAAACGATGAACAGAGTATTTGTAGAAAGATTCTATCGACATCAGTGGGTTGATTTATACCTTCGTAGAAAGATAAGACCCTTAACCAAGGCAGGGTCTGCTAGGTAGCGTTAGTGATGATTTCTTCCACTAGGAAGAACGTTCCCTCTCCTATTCACGCCTCTTCATCGCAGCCGTCACAAAAGCAACTGAAGAAAAATACTTCAACGTCTACTACAATCCTGATACACCATGAAGAAACTATTACAAATGTATAAAGAATTTTACCGGTTCTCTCCGATTAATCCACATATATCTCAGTACCTCCAAAGTAGCCAAGAACATCGCAATCAGGACAAAGTTAACCAGACCACGGTACAAAGTCGTCGAATTTCACCGCAACGAATATGCATGCGCATAGCTGTCGAAACAAGCAACAACACCAGACTCCGCGCAGAAGACAACGCGTGTCGCGAAAGAGGCCGCAATGAATCCCGTTTAGCCGGAATAAAGGAACTGGCGATGTGCGCGCTAATCAAGATTAGGATCACCTAGGCGACAGGCTGCTGTCTAGCCCGGGGATCAGCGAAGGGCGGACGACCAGCGGAACAAGGTCCACCTAATACGGGTCTGGCGCGGAAAAGATGCAAGAATTCCGGGGGGAATTAACACGAGCCGCAGGGCGAAATGAATTTTTACGGTAGCCCCGCGAGGCCATCAGCGCTTATACGCGAGCGAGTACGTATACACACCAGAAAGCCCCTGGTCTGAGTCCCCCCGTCTACTTCGCCAGGCGTGCTAACGAAGTTTTATGAAGCGCGATAGCGCCATACCTACGCCGTCCCGTGGACTTTGGCGCTCCTTAATTTGTGAACGCTGCCGTGCGCGGGCACACTGTGTCGAGCCGCCGCCGCGATGCCGCAAAAGAATGGTATGTCGGCCGACAACGTGATATATCTTCGGCCCTGTGTGCCCTGGACCTTCGCCGTGCCACGGAGCCCCAGTGAGAGAGAGAGAGAGAGAGAGAGAGAGAGAGAGAGAGAGAGAGAGAGAGAGAGAGACAGAGCGCTGCGCGGAAACCGTGGGTATACGGTAGCCTCCGTCTTCGCACTCTTTAGAAGCAGGGATTCCCTGATTCCCCACGGCTGCGATATATCCATGGCTCGCCTCGCCGTCATGCGTGAGAACGTTTACTGTCGGAACCGATCGAGTGATTTGTGCGGGCCTTTGTTCCGCGTGTTATGTTGCGCGGGGTCACCACCTGATTCTCTTCCTTTATGGGATTGTTCCGTGGATCGCGATTAATCGTGCCTCGAACGTGCGCGCCTTCGCGTGTAGGTGACTTGGAGTCCGCGCGAAGACAGGGCGAACGGAGGTTTAGAGAGCAATTCTGGAACGGGTAACGGTGTAGTGGGAAATAACGATGGAGGTGTTACCTATTGGTAGGATCGTTGATTTGGATTATTTTTGGGTGGCAGTGTTTAGGAGTGGTGCTTGTTGGAAGACGTGGTTTTGTCTTGTATTGGTCAAACTGAAGTTGTAGATGATTGACAACTCGAACAATCGAATAACCTGCGCCAGACTACCCATACCGATGATCCCCTAGCAAGAAGACGCCAGCGGTATAACAACGAATGACCGTCAGACATCCTCGATATCATAATCGAATCTCCGTCGCGGATTAATTAGTACATCGCAAATAGCTTTCGCGCGAGGACCTGGCCAATAATCTTTACCCACGTCCCCGAAAACTCTGGGCGAAAAAGAAGAGTCTTCTCTTGGGGTCGAACGCATGTGTATGTGTGTGTGTAGGCTATATGCGCACGAAACTATGCGGCGGTTGGTATATAGTTGTCTCCTCGTGGGTACTGATTAAGCTAACCCGAGGACTTGTGGACGCTTCGAGGGAACGTCGAGAGGCGCACACACAAGTTCCTCTTCGCTCTCTGCAGCGAGCCAGCAGCAACAACAACGGGAACCGCAGCCACAGCAACAGCTACCGCTGCCTCTGATGTATGCGAGCGATACAGATATCTCCGGGAAGGAATTTGCGTTGAATTAGCGTATAATCGGCGGGCCGATCTGCTCATACGGAATCCCGCGGCCCCGCTTACACGTGTCCCGAGAGCTGTATTCTCTGCGCGAACACAATATTTAGTGGCCATCCTCTCTCTCTCTCTCTCTCTCTCCGTGGTCCTCTTTCCGCTGTAGCTCCCGTGGGACCCTGCTGTCCTCCCAAAGCTCTTGGTTGGTATGCGATCCCCCTTAAAATCCGCGGCTCCCGGCCCAAATATCTTCACCCTTTCCTACCTACCACCACCATCACACGAGCAAACGGTTACCGGTCCCCGCCACGTCAATTCCAATGCCGGGGTCTTACCTGATTAAGGAGCCGCCTATCGGCGCATCGAGCCCAGGCGGAATCCGACAACTTCCATATTAAGATGCCACTACTGGAAGCTAAAGGATTATTCGGCCCCGCGAGGATACCCTCCAGGTGTATCCGCGCAATACACGCGGCGAACGATCCACAGGGATATACGGCTGGCAGAGCCGTGTTGCGTTTTCGCCGCGGGGCCCTTCGACCCGCGTAATTGGATCCTTGTTAAGCGCGGGGGGGACCCAAAGGGGGAGGGAATGACGGAACGCGACCTTTTCGCCGCGAGCTTTCCTTGACGCGTACGCTGTTCCGAGGGTGAACGTAGACTTCGAATAATTTTAGAGCTTGCTTCGATATCTCGATGTAAGCGTTAGAAGTTTATCTTTGGTGTTCTGTGGATACAGCCTCTTGCCGGGACATCTAGACGACCATGACAGTTTGGATATTTTCGCATGGAGAACATTGTCTACTTAGGAGTGTATACTTCTGAGACAATGTCCTTGAAGACATCTTGAAGAACTAAACTTTGAGAATAATCTTGAAATCATAGAGCGTTGTTTAAATATTTTCTCGGGTGCATCGGACCCTACCTCTAGGAGTTGAGATTTATCAGAAATGTGTAATATATCAGAACACTTGAAGACTTCTCAGAAGTTGGATTTTATCGGAAATGTTTAATGTATCGTCACTTGACTGTAGACAAGTGACTAAAATGCTTGTCCTTGATCAGTTTCATTTACCTTCTAACTAGCTTCTTCACCCAGAAAAAAGATTCGTCCTTGACATTCTTAAATACCGTACCAAAACACGAATTTACACGATCATCCGGGGTCCACCTACGATCCACACGAACCATCATTACGCTGAAAGATTATCAGGGGCGCAATCCGATCCATGTTCCCGAGAACTTCCCTCCTCGCCAGTTTCGTGTGCCGCGTTCCAACCTCGGAGACGGGTGCCCATCGGCGGAGATCATCGCGAGGGATCAAGGAATACAAATTGTCGAAGAGAGTATCGTCCCTCCTGATCGAGCCCCGGGGCCTTTCTCTGGTCCGCGAATAATCGTTTCCAAGATGTCTTTGTTTCCCGCGGAATCGGCCGGAGGGGGTTCGCCAGCTATTCCAGCCAACAGCAGAGTGGTAGAGAGGCCGCCCGCTTAACTGCTGCGTCGATCTCGAAGGGATCGAGGACCTGGTCCAGGTGGAGGGAGGTGAAGAGAAGAGAAGAGAGCCGGTTCGGCGACCGATCCTACGAAACCCCATGGGTGCGCCCGTGGTGGGTCGTCCCGATCCGGAGCCGATTCGATCTCTCTCTCGAACGTTCGATTCCGGGAAATCGGAGGTAGACGTCGGGCGCGTGTCTTCCGACGGGACGCGGCTGCTCGAGGAAGGGCACGGCCCAGTAGGGAAGGAAGGAAAGAGAACGAAGGAAGATACGCTCGGGTAACGAGCCTCCGGTCACGTGTGTACGGGCGTCGAGATGTCAGATCTATAGGCGCGTGCTCGATGGCGCGTGTCCCCGCCTGTTGATCAGCCACCATCGCATCGTAACACACGTCTATGCCCCCCGACGGGTATCGTCTACAACCTCGTCGCTTATTAGTCATGAATCCTCGGTCCATGCGACGCGACGATGATGGCGTGTCGCACCCGCGGGACAGCGCACTTGGACAGCCGTAAAGAAACCTCGAGGCACGGCGAGAAAGGTCTGTCAGGTCCTTGGATGGATATTCTTGTAGATTCTAGAACGATGTCCAGGTTCATGGCTAATTAGTATGTCCGTACAGATTTACGAGATCGACGGAATATCGGTGGGGATGTCTTCTTTTTGTGAACTGGTTTCGTAGTTGGTCTGACTTGGGTCTGATGCTTGCAGGTTGTGTCTTGAGAGTAGGCTTTCTTGGATGACTATGTTCTCAGAATTTTCGTTGTACTGTCTCAACGATAATTACTGCGAATTTCGTAAGTGGTGATATTAGTACCCTTAGTGTTTATGATGAAGTAGTTATAATCATCTGTATACTCTTCAGAACTTTGGTGACGATGAACCCTGACTGCTGCACTCCTACCATTAGCTTCAAGGGAAGTGGTCAAGTTGTACCGAATCTTATATGCTTCAATCTTCCATCAGGTAACATCCTCTTTGAACAATGCTACTTCCATCCCGAAATTCTTCCACACCGACCACGGTTACTGATGTCAACACGGTATCTCCGAAGCCATCACACTTTATCGCGCCTCGGGAGCCAGAGGACCAGCCGTAGATAGAGCGAAAAATCGTGTCGAGGATTAATTGGCGCCATATTTTTCCCGGTCGAACAAACCAGGCATGCCCCGCGATATTTCTTTCTTACACCGCAGTCTCGTTACACCACGGCCAGGGGGTACGGCCGTTGGATCCGCGCCTCGCGCCTGTTGTTTGGCCCGGGTGAACGCGGGGGAAATGTCGAGGAGGAATGTTTTATTTCCTGCAATTGCGTCAAGGAGGTGTGTTGCCGAGGGTACCGCGAAATAAACAAAAAAAGAAGAAGGAACAGAGAAACGAAAAAGAGAGGAAGGAGAGGGTAACACCGCGTGGCGTGCCGCGGTGCTCGGAACTTTCGCGGCAAAAGGATACAGACACATACGCACACACACACACACATAGCGGTGCTTTATGATTTATTCGGCCCCCTTCTTGTTATTCCCTCCTTCTCGCTCGTAATTCCAGCTGCACGCCAGGTAAACACGACCCCAGCTCTGCGATCCTATGTAGATCCAGGGGAAAGATGCGAGGGAAATTCACTTTCGACCGATACCCGATCGCCGAGAAATCTCCTCTCCCCCCATTCCATCTTCCCATTTCGAAATTGCGCTCCCGCCGCGATCTCCAAGGTAATACTTAACACCGCCTCGGGACTAATGTTTAAACGATCGTATCGGTACCAGAGAAGAGTGTGTCTTGCCGCCGTGTGTATTAGCTAGTTGTGCCGCCGCCACTACCACCTCTTATTAAGTAATGTTAACGTGATGTCTAATATTAAGGTGATATCCCAGTGACAAGAGATTGTTTAATGGCCGTGTTCGATACACCTAATAATACACGTGATTGCAACGGGCACTCTCGTGTCACTGTTCCGTTTCACCTTTCGGTGATCCCTTCGCGCGATTAGCTACCGCGGAACTTAAGTATTGCCCAGAAGGTGTTGGAAGGTTATAGGTACGTGTGTTGTTTTGGTCACGTTTCTACTGTAATTTTTGTACTGGTCTGTGGAAATCACGATCGAATGCTTCATGACTATCTGAATTATTCTACTTTACTTTAATAAATGATGCTATTATGACGAAAGAATAATGCAAGGATTAGGATGCATCAAGGCCTACACGTCTGATAGCAAAACGAAGAAAATGGTCGAATGACATACACGGGCACTCAGAAATGGTACAACTTAACCGAAATTGAATATGAGTTTCTGTGAAAAAAAAAAAACATTCGTACATTTTGCATTCGGCCCTGACAATGGTATTTGTTTCAGCGACATATGGTCATTAGTTTATGAAATATTTATAGGTCAGTGTCAAGGAGCCTTCAAACACTCATCGATGATTTACTGTACTTTAAAATTACTAAAAATTCTGTGTACAGGTCCAACCAATTCCTATTTCCTGTATCAGTTCGGTATATGTTCCCTTCGTGTCTTGGGGTCGGTCCGACGAAAGAATTATAGGATACGCACTGATTGCTGGAAATTGGCCGGTCGATTGTTCAGGTAACGCCAGCTCCGGCTGGCCACTCGGAGCTGACACCAGCAGCAATTCTCTGTCTTTCACATCGCGTTTACAATGTTATCCAGGAGCGATCGAGCCTGCAATTTCAATCCGACCGGTCGCGAGACTAAAACACCGTGGCTTCCCTAGATCGGGGAAATAATAAGGAGACGTATACGTCCGGATCCTGCAAACGAGGTGTAACTGAAATCACTTGTGAGGCATCCGCTCAAACGAGCTGTGACTGCACGTAGATCTCTTATCCGGGACACCCGCTCGGAGTCTTTAATTCCTCCGGTGATCTATAGCCGTGATACACCCGTTGCATTATTCCATCGTGCGGTGATACGCACACTCGTGACTCTTGTTAAAAAAGCCGCGGTTTCGTTGTTTGCAATTTTTAATCCTTAGGCCGTTCAACGGAACACGATGAATTTTCATTGTAACGTTACATCGGATGAAACCGATGTCCGTATGTGTAGACTAAAAAAGGACAGAAAAGTGTGTTTCGCTCTAACTTGTAAAAGGATTAAATTGAATACCTTGTACTTTTTTAAAGAATATCGAAAGAGTCATATATGTTTCGTGAAAAAATATTAAAGCACTGGAGGTTCAAAGTTGATATTCATCGAGATACCTAACCTACGAATCGCAGTTAAAACATAATGACGACACTCCTTTCAACCCCATAACTCCATAAAGAGTACTACGAATTAAAGCCTTAAAAATTACAAAATATAGAAATCTTTACGTTATGTTCCTTCAAAGTGAAGAACAGAAATTCCGAAATGCTAAAAACCTTCGAGTGAATCCATCTCTCGTTTTGACATATACTCAGAATGAATCACCCGTTCGCGTAAGTTTACCGTCACAGGTAATCTCGTTTCCGGGAAAGATGACAATGCAAGTGTCCCCACGCGGTTGGCGAGGGCCTTAATGCTTTTGCAGAATCGCGAATATAAATCGAGGCTCGAGGGCAGGTGGCTTCATCGAGCCGCGACGCGACAAGACATCGCCATCATGTTCGTCCATTAACTGGAAAACGTTGACTCGAGTCGATGAGCATCGGTGGCTAATGACTTTTCCCGAGTACTACGGCTTAGAGAACGAATATGCGTGTCGCGGTGCTTCTTACACGTGCAACCCGTGGGAGACCGGAAGTCGTGGATCGCCGCGCTGTATGTCGCAGGAAGATGCTCCCTGTCTTCGATACTGGCTGTGACCCACTTGTGGCTACGAGTGGATCGAAACCGTTCGCAAGTCGATACCCGTATTAAGGGGCTATGCTACTGTGACGGTTTCAGAAAATCGAATTTTTCTTTTTTGCAATCTGCAACAATTTTTTCAGGGAGAGGAAGATGTATTATATGATCTGGAACAGGTGATTAGCTGTTAGTACGAAACATTCCTCTTTTTATGCTCTAAAACAGTACTTGAAACTTTGTTCGCGTTTTTCTCGAAGCTACTTTTTCCTAATCGGCGGCCATAATAACTTAAAAACTAATTGACCGATTTAGTTCAAACCAAGGAAATAATGATACCATCTTTAGATCATGTGAATCGTCCAATAGCTAAAAAATTCCATTCTCTGAACAAGAATTCAATTCGTCAAACATCGACAAACCGGTCCAAACCTAGAAAACCATCATCGCATGGTTTATCGATTTCCCATCGATTCACGTCGCAGCCAACCGATTCTGGCATCGGACCCGTACTCTTTCAGGACCAGTATCGATATCCCCGTCGAATCCTGGTGTCTAGCGGTTTGCCGGATCACGGTGGCGTCGCGTACCTGCCCGCCCATAGGCGAGGGGCCCCGCGCGGGTCCTCCTCGAGCGGAGTTTAAACGATTAACGGGAGCGGTTCCCCGCGAATAATCGATGTCCCTCCGATGTCCTCGGGCGTACGGCAAAGTTCTCGGATCCGGCTCGGTATTTCACGGGGGATTACGTGGCTTACGTTTCCGTTCGATCCGCGTTGGGGCTCTTCCCGCGCCGTCAGGAATTATCGGCCGCGTGTCGATTATATTTCTCCCTCCCTCGCCGTTCCTCCAACATTCACTCTTCTCGCTTTTTCTTCGCGTACCAACCGAGGAAATGTACGACACACTAGGCCAGCTTCGTCCAATACACGCGCGACTTTCGACGTTCTCTTTTTCCGTCGCGCCGTGGGAAATGCCTGGTTTTTACAGTCTGGCTGGGGATTTATACTTTCAACGAACCAGCCCCGCGCTGGTCGTCCGTCTGCACGATGACAGATAACCGGCCGCGATTCGATCGAACATCGCGGAATGGAGTATCGGCAGAACTTGCCCGGGAGATAGGCTCCTGATAGAGGAATGATTGGATGTCTTTGTTGTTCGGTGGAAGATCGAGAGATACCCGGTGCGACCGGAGGTGCGCGAATTAGATAAGGTTGTTCTTTACTTTTTTATTCGAATAGTTAAATGCGGTTTTTCTGAGTGCTGGCACCATTTCGTAGCACCTCGGAGGACTTCAAAAAGGTGGTAGATATAAGTCCTAGCCAGGTTCTAGACATATTGGGCCATGGTAGCATTTTATTGTAATCATATATGGTACTGCAAATTATCGTCAGGAAATAAAGGGTTAAAAATTTATCGGTTCACAGAATGCTAACAAGAGTATACTAAATTCTTTCAGAAAATCCACTATAAATATTCATCGAACTAGATCTACGAAGTTTTATCTTGACGCGGTCTATCTGACCTAAGAGTATTAATAAAAAGATTACCAAAAGTAGTTATTGTGAGTTGATACTAAACATACACAATTCGAAATGTCTATAAGAGTTGGAAGATTTTTCGTGTCTAAATGAATCCTGGAATTGTCATCCATACAATTGTTGGACCCGTCGCTGTCGCAATGGTTAAAAAAAAACCTGCCTTTGAAAATCTATTCAAAGAGACACTATGCCTCCGACGAAGCGCAAACGAAGACCCTGGTATTTTCTCGGCGCAACTCTGTATTTGCCAAGAACCCGTCGCAGCCTCGGTAAAATCGGCCCTACTGCCGAAGACCTCTTTACGTCTCCAGGTATGTCAGCCGGGCATGAATCACCAGAACGGCGGCCATCAGCACACCCGGGCGAAAAGGGGCATTGTATACCAATTTGTCGCCGGGACAAATCGCTCGACCGATGCCAACTGCTCTGGTACGGTATGAATCAACCTTCCTGGCGACGAGGACGACGATTCCGTTCGTTCGAACGTGTACACAGCGAGCAGGTCGACGGAAATACGTTCTCAACAAGTACCATACGACGGCTGCTGCGTCGCGACGGAGGTTTCCACGAAGATTCACGATCGAGCCGTGAGTCGATCGCAGATGCAGAATTTCTCGAGCTCTCCGAAAAGGAGGGACAAGAGGAGGGGTGAAAGGGTAAGCCGCTTTGCGAACCAGCGGAATTGCGACGCGGCCGACGAAGGAGGAAGGGAGTAAGCGATTAGGTAAACCCCGGATTAGTTGGACGCCGGTTCGGCCTTCGTTTCGGATCGGTAACCGGGTTGCTACCGATCCTACCTCCCTCCACCAACCCCTTTCCACTACCACTACCACTACCACGACCACTGCTCTCCTATTGCCCCCTAGGAGAGTTCGATTGCCGCCACTAATAATGCTACCCCTGATTTACATGATTGGATTGGCGTTGCGAAATTGAAACTGCTGCCCGCCGCAACCGCGGTGCCGTACCTTGTATACGGCATGCAAATGCTGGAAATTAGCTCGCTACCGGACGGATATTGAACGACACGACGGTATGTACCACCCCCTCTGTTGAAGAACCGAATTATGTTCGACCAGAGACGATATGATGTAGGACGTTCGATTGATTTGTAGGTGGAATATTGTTTTGTCGATGTCGGGCGTGCCTTTGTGATCGA